GCCAAGCTTGCCTATCCTATGGGCAGGCCTATTTCGGCAGAGGACTATGGTACGCTGTAAAAAATGAAAAAAATTATGGAAAATTTAAATGAGTTAAATAAGAGACTTTTTAAAATCGTATTTCTATTCTAGGGGTTTGCAAATCAACGTGGCAATTTACGAGACACAGAAAGCCAATAGTTATACCAAAAATATAACTTCAACGCATGTTAGATCTCGTATATTAAATATATTTCCAAACAATGTTCTAACTCTTGTTTTACTACCATCAACAAAATTGGAAATTCTGAATAATGTTTCTGTAGTTTTTGCATGCACACGTAACCACTCACACATAGTTTTATTGAATTTATTTACTACTAAACTAAGTTAACGTGCAATGGTGGTAGGTAATTCGCTGATAGGGTGTCGTAAGAAGCGACTTCATGAAGTGTCCTAAAATATTATGGTTTTTTCCCAGACTGGCGACGCGGAGCATTGTCCAAGGTGCGAGACGTCTGGTACTGCGATTTCCAATCTGAAACGAGAGAGGCCCAGGGCCAGTTGTGGACTATTACGAGCTGGTAAAAAAGAGGAAAGGTAAATGAAAATGTAAAAGTTGTAATATCATATATACGTATTGCCTGTAATGACATATGGATCTGGGACATGGTTCTTCACTGCTGGCCGTATGAAGTTCAAGCTCAATGTCGTATATTGATTGAGCAATCGATCTCAGATTTAGTGAAATGCGAAATACGTTTTGACTTATAAAATTTTGATATTTAGAAAATAGGAATAACACTTTTCCTTTTGTACCTAGAAAATAAAGTATACCAAAATAATGCCTTACCACTATTTAGATAATATATTGCCAGTAAAATTACAAAAATACTAAATTATTGTTCTATACTTTTTTTACTTTTCAACAAGGCTAATGTAAGGGAAATATTTAAAGGTGTTAATGGCAATTGCCAACAACACGGACACCTTATTTACAAAAAAATACTCTAAGTCTTTCGTGTAAATGAGCCTCATAATGTTTATAGATGGTTCATCCATTCCGAAAATTAAGGTAACGTAAATAAGTGTCTGCCAATTATTACTCTAATTAAATAGTAAGTTTTATATCATAAATGGATTAACATTACGGTCGATAAAACGACAAATGTAATTTTGTAAACGAAAGGAAATATTTTTATGTGACATATTATTATAATTACAAAATGTTTACTTTTATTTGTGCTATAAAACCAAGTCAATAGAAAGTGCTATAATACTCGTATATATTTTGGTGAGTGAGTGCGTGTATCAAAATATTTTTTCTTATAATTGAAATGTGAAACGAGCTAAGAGTCCACCTGACTGTAAGTGGTTACTGCAGCCCACGGACTTTCTATACCAAACCAATGACAACTTCATAAGAAGAAAAACTGTATCCTCTGCCACGTCTGATTACTAAGATGTACAAATAAGACCAATGGGTGATTTAAATAGCTGTATCCTTGATTTTCATCAATAATTATTAATACCTGCAAGGAAAGGGCTTTAGACCTTAGTAGTCGATATTAATTTCAACATATTATGTATTTCGTTCCTGAGGAAAAATACTTGACAGACAAACAGATTGACGCATAGGAAAGTGTTGCTATAAGGGCTCTGTTTTTTCGTGGCTTAAGACGAACCAAGTCATTAAATATTTTATTCTTGAAAGAACATAAAAAGTAATTAAAATTAAAATTAACTTCAGAACAGTACTATATGCTTCGCAAACAATTTAAATTAGGAACATACATAGGAAAAATCTTGTATTTACCATTAAGCAACATCCAATGGCAAAACTTAAATTAACAATTCCCTAAGTACTACGTAGGTGTGCGTAAATTCTCACTAATTAGTCGGATTCAGCGCACGTTGAATTTGAAATCGAGCTAGCGTTTATTACTAATTTTCCAACAGATGTGAAGTATGCTTTTAACAAGGTAGCATTTACTCGTAAATTCGATTTCAGTTGTCAGTAGGTAACGATAATTACACGTTACAAAGTTATGTTATTCAAACCGTTCTTTACCGTTACAACCTATGAAAATCAACTGCTGCACTTAGGTCTCCCCCATAGATAGTTTCATAGAGCGGGTTGACATACGTAGGTGCCACACATGGCAAGCGGGTTGGCAATCGCAGTTTTTATTTTTAGCCGTTATTAGGAAGATGCTGCTTCATATATTTTGATTTATTTACCTCTGTCGCCTCTTACGACACCCACGGGATGATACTCAGGGGTAAGGGATAGTCTCACGCCGCCACTGCACGGTAAGTTTTCCAAATTGTTGACTTCAAACATGATGTTTATGTACTTTACCGCTTCGCAAATTCAAATAGTTAATCATTTCACAATATAGACGCTCACTAAGAACGAATTGTACCATCAAAAAATTAATAGGTTAGTAGCGAAGCGAGCTAGTACTGCATAAAATTAAATTGCGATTGAATGAAACGCAAGTTCGCCTCTCGCGGGGGAGGCGGAGGAGGATAAAAACTGTTAGATTCATTAGGATAGTTTTGCATTTCGGCATTTTTCTCTTTTTATATTATTTGCGTACCCTACCGCTTGAGCAACATAGACTATGTAAATAATTTATTCGGCAGCTTTTTTTTTTAAATACGTCTGCAAGTTTACCGCGCAAATATATACAAATAAAATTAAAGTGTCTGTCCGTAAAGTTGAAATAACTAACTTCTAACAATCTCAGGTTGTTATTTGCTATAAGTAAACAATTTGAAATGTTTGCCTGTGTTCGGAATGACTGAAGCGTTTGTGACAAAACTTTACGAGCATATAGAGAGCAATGTCAGAAGAGATCTGGGCTATATCCTATACCTTTAAACGAGCATTTATATATATATATATATATATATATATATATATATATATATATATATATATATATATATATATATATATATATATATATATATATACATATATTCGGAAGCTCGGAAACGGCTCCAACGATTTTCATAAAATTTAGTGTCCAGGGAGTTTCTGGGGCAATAAATCGATCTAGCTAGAATTTATTTTTAGATAATGTCTTTTTGTCTGTGTTTTTAAGCAATGAAAACTGCTACAGTATAAGCAGGTAAATTTTGACACTGAGTAAATGATCGTAATAGCTCAAGTGGATATCGAGCTGTCGCGAAATCGTAATGCCTTGGTTCACGTCCTGTCTTCGGTTCGGCTTTTTTTCCCTTTTTTTTCTTCAAAATTCTTTCTTTTGTGAGAATATCTATTATTTCGAGTACTTTTTTAGTATTTTTAAAAATACGAAAATTTTTATTAAACTCAATCATGATTTTTTTATTCAAATAACCAGTTCAGTTTTTTTCTATTATGTCAATAAGATCAAAAAATACGAGTATTATTTATGTTTTATCAGTATGTAATTTGTATCTGAATGTAATTTCAAAAAAAAAGGGTACTTTTATTTAAAAGACTTCATTTTTTATTATCATTTATTTTATCCGTGTTTCGTTTGCACACGGATAAAATAAATGATCTATAATTATTTCAAATCTAAATAATACATCGATAGATCCTATCCAAGCGTAGCCGGGTAGGTGGCTAGTATATTCATATATTTTGTATACAGTGATAAGAGATTTCGGATATAACTACAAAGTAGCAACTGTCGCGTAATGCAAATTATCAGATATTTAAAAAAAAAAGTGAAATTTTTCACGTAATGATCGAAGAAAATAACGGAATCTTCACTCAAAAATACTTGTTACTTACGAGACGACCAAGAAACGAAATTATGTTGGCATATTATTGTAATACATCTTATCTATGTCTGCTGAGCATTTCGAAATAATGTTACAAAAACATGTATAATCTAATTTCTCAAAAACATCATTTTTAAAATCATAAATTTAAGCTTCAATCAGTTTAGTAATATAAAAGTAAAGTTACAGTCTATATACGTCCCACTGCTGGGCACAGGGCTCCCCTCATTTCTGAGAGGGTTTTAGGGCAAGGAAGTGTCCGCCGCGCTGCCCCAATGCGTGTTGGCGAACTTCACAGGTCTTCGAAATATTTTTTTTCGAAATTAAAGGCTCTTTTCCGGGATTCGTATATCGTTATTGACGACTTTTTGATACAAAATAGATTGTTTAAATATAGATGAGTCATACAGCAAGTATAACGATTGAGAAATAATTCTTATATTTATAATAAAGTGATCCTGAGTTGCTGGGTTTAATTACTCTTATATGCTTCCCGTCGATGGCACCGATAAAATTGGGATAGTTTGCATTTTCATTGAAACCTTTTGCTATTACAAGCCACCTTTCTTCATTTAATTCTGGAAATGTTGACTGTCTCATGTTCTCCCAAATCGCCATGCAAATTTCATATATGATATCTCGGACAGTGGTATGTCCAATCCGAAAATTATGGCTATTTTCCATCATAGAACAGCCTGTAGCAAGATATCTGTAATAAAGTACTTATATTAATTTTCAGGTAAATCTCTACAGCAAAAGTGGAAGAACATCAGGACTAGTTACAGCAGGGAAATAAAACGCACAGCCAGTGCTAAAAGTGGAGCAACAGCTTCGCGTAAGAGTCCTTACGTATATTTCGAACAACTACAGTTTCTTAAGGCCACTGTAATAAATAATGAAACTCAAAATAACATGGGTGAAACACACCCTGCGTAAACCAACGATGACAGCGATTGTAATCAAAGTAAAAGACCCGTTTCCAAAAAGAAGAAGACATGTGACGACGAAAATTTGGTTCAAGTATTAAAGGAAAGTATCGCAATAAGAAAAGAGCGTGAAAGAAAGCAAGAATCTGATTCAGATAGACTATTTATGCTTTCGCTTCTAGAAGATTTTAAAAACATTCCGAAACATCGTAAACTTTCTACGAGAATGGAGTTAATTGACGTAATAAAAAAGAGCTCAGATGCCTTTTATGGAAACTTACAATTCCGAATTTGGTGTATTTCGCCAAGGTCATGTTGATTATGAACCAGAGACATCAACCGCCAGATTATTTAGACCAGAAACATCGGTTAGTGGACAGTATCGCCATGGATACTCAACTGAATATGGACCGGGAAACTCGAGCAGTAGGCAATATCGCCATGAATACTCAACTGAATATAGCCCGGAAATCTCGAGCAGTGGGCAATATCGCCATGGATACTCGACACAGTCACATTATGGGCCAGAAACCTCGAGCAGTGAAAGCCGCCGTGCATATTCTACGTCTGTTCCAGACAAGCAAGACAATACCGGATATACTGAGGTATTATCTCTATCTGACACAAATGTAACAGATACGTCTCAGAATTCTGAATTACTTGAACTATTTCAGGAAATTTCTTTTACCATACATGTAAGAAATAAAGAATAAATGTTATAAACAATTAACAGTATTTTTTATTTTAGCACTTACCTCAATAGGCAGCCTGGCTGCGCAGCCGGGCTGCGCAGCCAGGCTGCCTAGTGCGCGGCATACCTTAATATTCCAATTAACAATTTCATTGGTGCCGGCGGTGATCGAACCAGGGTTACTCGCGTTCTCTTATATTTACAGCGAGTGTTAACCATCTGAGCTACCACGGATTTTGTAATTGTTTAGGAATATGGGGGAATATTATTGAAATTGAAGCATTAAAAATTGATAAAGAGTTTATTAATGACAAATTGTAAATCATGAAATTCAATGAACTACTTGTTGAATTACTACTACTACAATGAAATATGTAAATATAACAAGTATTTCTATAAAATGAAATGAATGTAAATTATGGTAGAGATAGGCTGAATGTATTGGTGTTTTTTGAGGCTTTAATTTGCATAACTAGTTGTAACTGTTGGAAAAAAGGAATTGATTGTCCCCACATTTGATGGTTGAGTGCAAATATACTGCTAAAAAAGGTGTCATTAAAACTGTATCACATCAAAAGTGATAGGTACTACGGTGGTAAAAGTATTACTTACAATATTATAGCTGTTAGCAGAATTGAACCAGGAAACAGTAACACTAGGATGCTATACTATGGCTATAGCACGATATTCTAAGTTCAACTGGGGAAGGACCACGCTCTCATAGCAGCCTAATGTTGCTGTGTTTCGAAACTTCAGTTAAAGAACCAGACACACATTTTATTGTAAACGAGGCAATTCTTCTCAATTCTCTCAGGTGTCAAAGCGTGAGAATTTTGATTGTCATTCGGAGATAGATGATGATGTCTATGCGCCACAACAACTGTTTACCATCTGATGGACAATATGCTCGTTTTACACCCTTCTTCTTTAATATTAATAAATGTTAAGTTCAAGTTTAAAATAAACCAAATATAGTTTTAAAGGAAGAACCCGATAACAGCTCTCTCTTATTAACTTTTGAAACGTCTACTTATAATCTCGAAACGTTTGCCTTTTTATTGTGCACATGGACTTATTTTCATGTTATTAAGCCATAAGTAATAACTTTTAAAATATAATCTGCCTTTTTGTCCGGGCTAAGATTCGGAATCGCTACCCAACTGCGGTTAAACTGCAGGAACAGATGGAGAGCAAAGTCATGATTTATTTTGGCTATATTTTTTTTGAAAGACATAGAAAATTATTTTTGACAAATCGGAAAATTGATAAATAAATATTCTTTGAAGGTAATCCTTAATCTTAACAACCCCACATTAATAGATCCGCCACCTAGAAGAAGTCGGAATGTATCGCTATAGTTAATCAATAAAATTACAAGTCAGGTGTAATGTGCACTAAAATAACGCTTCATAGTTTTTTAGGGGCCCACCTTCCAGCGATATCCGTCAACAAAACAATATATTTTTAACCAACAAATACTTTTATCTGAATTTTGTTATTAATGTTATTATACAAACAATTCAATGGAATTTCAATTAAAGATTTGTAAATTCTTAACGGACTAAAAGGAATTGTAGAAAGCGATCAGAATTTTCATTTGAAGCGCGCCGACACAGCTATACTATTAATTTAGTTTCAATCTAACAGCTGTAAGCAAATTAAACAAAGGAAACGCGAAATAGATATTATTGGTTGAATGGAGGAAACATTATTTGTTATGAGCATTTAGAATTAAAGTAAGATGAGATTAATAAGATTTGAAAGTTTACTTTTATTTTTTAAAGCTTTTGCTTCCTTTACCCCTTTCGACACCTGTGGACAAGACTGAATCTATTGCACCGTCACTTTAAAACAAAATGTAAAACAAAAAAATTAAAGCATTTCTTCAACATCTCATTTTAGGTATCTCTTTATAAAGATCTCCTCTATTATTTTGAAAATTTATGATTATAATGTATTGGGATAGCCTACCATTTTGTTCAGGTACAATATGTTGGATTTTGTTGGTCTTGAAATATTATTGATTGCTTTCTCATGAAGTTTTTTTTTTTTAAATTGTTCTTACAGGCCGATGAAGACGAACATGCCGATAACGCTCAGCACATGCATATAGCCACAAATTATATTACATTTATAATTTTCTCTTGTACTATTAATGTGGGAATAATTTAAGCAAGCAAATGCACTTATTCATTCTTGCGGTAGTGGTTTTAGTCTCGTATGTCATTATATATTTATTTTATATCACTCAAACTAAAAATAAAACGTATGTTATATTTATTTTTCATTAGGTAAGTGGAACCGAGGCACTTACATCCATTAATTCACTACATGCATGCACCTCTTAACTTAAAACAAATTTATACAACCAGTTCATATTAAGAGTGAATATCCAATGCCGTTTTAGAAAAATCAGAGCCGCTTATCAATCTATAGAGAATAGGCTACCCCCGAGGGCTGCCTACGTATTTAGTCTAACGACTTCCTCGTTACAGATATAAGGGACGTCTCAGAATATTTTTCGTTTTTGATTTGAGTATTACGTGCCAAATACAAACAGCGAGGGTGGTGAGTGATTTTAATCGCTTGGCGGGCTTGTTTAGTTTAGTAACCATGGAACGTTTCAAGCGAATGCAGCCAGCATTTTGCGTGCGAGCCTTTTAAAAAAACAACCATTCGTACACTATTATTCGACGTCTCTAGAGGAAACATATCAATTTCACGACTATGAGGAATAAGCTAAGTGCAAATTAATCAAAATTTTGGTGCACATGTTTAAAGATACTGGGGTACCGAATAAGCCAACTGGGTGCTAAAGGTCATCGAGAACAAGCATGAATATCAACCGCGTACGCCAGTTTATTATGAACAACCCACGACAATCACTACGATTACGAACAGCTTTGAATAAGTCCACGAGTCATTTTTGTAGGTATCATAAACGAAAACATACACACTTTATTTGTTTGTTTGTTTAGTATGTATGCAGAATAGATTTTTCTTATCAATGAGATTAATATTGGCACAAAAACATTGTTTATCGAGCCTAAATTTGTGTTCAATAGACCTACGAGTGCAAATCAAAGTTAATTAATCATTAATCAGCGTAAACAGAACATCAAGAGCACGCGAAAAGAAGTATGGCATGTTTATAGTAATAGCATTAATCATGCAAGGAAGATTTGTGGTGTTCAACATTTATGTTCTTTCTACTTGCGTTTTTTTTAAAGTAAAATATAGTGGAAAGCTAATTGACTTAAGACCTACATTGATCAAAGTAATGTTTGGTTATTAACAATAACTTATGGTTTAGTAGTATAAAATCTGTGAACAATAATACCTAGAAAATACACGTCACTAAGGTCGCCGTGTAGTGGCGGTTAAGAATATCCACTACCCCATATCTTCCCGTGGGTGTCGTAAGAGGCGACAGAGGGAGACAGGCAGGAGATGGGCAGCAGCATCTTCCTGATAACAGCAACTGTACGACAAAAAAAAAACTGCGGTTGCCAACCCGCTCGCCAAGCGTGGCAACTATGGCAATATACCCCCCATGAACAATTACACAAGTAGACGGCCCCCAGTCCCCGGCGGCCCCGCTATTCCTGGCTACGGTGGCGACCATGGTAACGGCGGGGCAGGGGGTGCTAAGAATCTCCGGTGGAGGTTCGGTTGCCACCTACGACGACTCGACCTGGCAACATTTAACGCACGCACACTGAGGACTGACGAGAAGATCCTGGAGCTGGAAGAAGAGATAGACAAGTTGCGCTGGAGTATTATAGGATTATCCGAGGTCCGAAGAGAGGGGGAGGACACGGTGATTCTCGAATCCGGCAACTTGTTCTATCACCGGGAGGGCGACCATCTGTCCCAAGGAGGTGTCGGATTTATCGTCCACAAGTCTCTCGTCAACAATGTTGTACAGATTGAGAGTGTGTCGGCGAGGGTCGCGTACCTGATACTCAGAATCACCAAACGGTATTCGCTGAAGGTCATACAGGTTTACGCACCAACGTCGGCACATTCCGATGAGGAGGTGGAGGAAATGTATGAGGATATTTCCAAAGCCATACATTCCTCCAAAACCCACTACACGGTGTTGATGGGAGACTTCAACGCAAAACTAGGCACAAGAGAAAGCGGTGAGCTGAAGTTAGGGAAATTTGGAGTAGGGCAACGGAACCGAAGGGGCCAGCAGCTGGCCGACTTTATGGAGAAAGAGGGACTCTTTATGATGAACTCTTTCTTCCAGAAGCGGCCCCACAGGAAGTGGACCTGGTCGAGCCCCGACGATTCGACAAAAAATGAGATTGACTTCATTATGACGACCAGACGCCAACTATTCAGTGATGTCTCAGTGATCGCAAGGGTGAAAACTGGCAGCGATCACTGAATGGTTAGAGGCACACTGAACCTAAACGTTAAGTTGGAGAGGTCTCGTCTAATGAAGTCAACGCTCCGTCCCCCTCGTGCTCTGATCCAAAATCCCGAAAACTTTCAGCTCGAGTTACACAACCGCTTTCAGAGCCTACAAGATTGCAATGCAGTGGACGATATGAATGACAAGCTCGTGGAAACTGTCCATGCGGTCGGAGCTAAGTTCTGCAAGACCCGCCGCAGAAGAACACAAAAACTCTCCGATCACACTCTTAATCTCATGGCTGTTAGACGGGAGATGAGGCTGCAATCGTCAACAGATTTGACAGCATAGAGGCAACTGAACAGACAGATCTCCAAATGCATGCGGCGAGACTTACGCAACTTTAATACTGCTCGTATTAAAGAAGCGATCGAGCGGAACCAGGGCTCCAAAGTCTTTGTCAGAGATCTGTCTGCCAGAAAGAGCCAACTGTCAAGGCTGAAGACTGAGTGTGGCAGCATCGTTTCCGGGACACCTGAGATTTTGAGTGAGATTGAGAGGTTCTATGGGCAGCTGTACACATCATCGTTGGAGCCACACGCAAGTGTGAGTAACGATCCAAGAGCAAGTCTTATCCGACACTATTCCGATGATATCCCGGACGTCAGTCTAAGCGAGATTAGAATGGCTCTCCAGCACCTTAAAAACGGCAGGGCCCCAGGCGAGGATGGAATTACAGCGGAGCTTCTGAA